CTAAGTGACGATACTCTCTAAGAGACATGTGACTACTCTCTAAGTGACACGTGACGATACTCTCTAAGTGACACGTGACGATACTCTCTAAGAGACACGTGACGATACTCTCTAAGTGACGATACTCTCTAAGAGACACGTGACGATACTCTCTAAGTGACGATACTCTCTAAGTGACACGTGACGATACTCTCTAAGCGACGATACTCTCTAAGTGACATGTGATGATACTCTCTAAGTGACACGTGACGATACTCTCTAAGTGACACGTGACGATACTCTCTAAGTGACACGTGATGATACTCTCTAAGTGACGATACTCTCTAAGAGACACGTGACGATACTCTCTAAGTGACGATACTCTCTAAGTGACACGTGACGATACTCTCTAAGCGACGATACTCTCTAAGTGACACGTGATGATACTCTCTAAGTGACGATACTCTCTAAGTGACACGTGACGATACTCTCTAAGTGACACGTGACGATACTCTCTAAGCGAACGACTACTCCTCTAAGTGACACGTGACGATACTCTCTAAGTGACACGTGACGACACTCTCTAAGTGACACGTGACGATACTCTCCTAAGTGACGATACTCTCTAGAGACACGTGACGATACTCTCTAAGTGACGATACTCTCTAAGTGACACGTGACGATACTCTCTAAGCTGACAGTGACGATACTCTCTAAGCTGACACGTGGACGATACTCTCTAAGCGACACGTGACGATACTCTCTAAGTGACACGTGACGATACTCTCCTAAGCCCGTGACGATACTCTCTAAGGACACGTGACGATACTCTCTAAGTGACGATACTCTCTAAGTGACACGTGACGATACTCTCTAAGCGGACACGTGACGATACTCTCTAAGCGACACGTGACGATACTCTCTAAGTGACACGTGACGATACTCTCTAAGAGACACGTGACGATACTCTCTAAGCGACCACGTGACGATACTCTCTAAGCGAACGTGACGATACTCTCTAAGTCGACACGTGACGATACTCTCTAAGCTGACACGTGACGATACTCTCTAAGTGACACGTGACGATACTCTCTAAGTGACGATACTCTCTAAGTGACACGTGACGATACTCTCTAAGTGACGATACTCTCTAAGCGACACGTGACGATACTCTCTAAGTGACACGTGACGATACTCCCTAAGAGACACGTGACGATACTCTCTAAGTGACGATACTCTCTAAGCGACACGTGACGATACTCTCTAAGTGACACGTGACGATACTCTCTAAGAGACACGTGACGATACTCTCTAAGTGACACGTGACGATACTCTCTAAGTGACACGTGACGATACTCTCTAAGTGACGATACTCTCTAAGCGACACGTGACGATACTCTCTAAGTGACACGTGACGATACTCTCTAAGAGACACGTGACGATACTCTCTAAGTGACGATACTCTCTAAGAGACACGTGACGATACTCTCTAAGTGACACGTGACGATACTCTCTAAGTGACGATACTCTCTAAGCGACACGTGACGATACTCTCTAAGTGACACGTGACGACACTCTCTAAGCGACACGTGACGATACTCTCTAAGTGACGTGTGATGATACTCTCTAAGTGACACGTGACGATACTCTCTAAGTGACGATACTCTCTAAGTGACACGTGACTCTCTAAGTGACGATACTCTCTAAGTAACACGTGACGATACTCTCTAAGTGACACGTGACGATACTCTCTAAAGACACGTGACGATACTCTCTAAGTGACACGTGACAATACTCTCTAAGAGACACGTGACGATACTCTCTAAGTGACACGTGACGACACTCTCTAAGCAACACGTGACGATACTCTCTAAGTGACGTGTGATGATACTCTCTAAGTGACACGTGACGATACTCTCTAAGTGACACGTGACGATACTCTCTAAGTGACGATACTCTCTAAGTGACACGTGACGATACTCTCTAAGAGACACGTGACGATACTCTCTAAGTGACACGTGACGATACTCTCTAAGAGACAAGTGACGATACTCTCTAAGTGACACGTGACGATACTCTCTAAGTGACACGTGACGATACTCTCTAAGAGACACGTGACGATACTCTCTAAGTGACACGTGACGATACTCTCTAAGTGACGTGTGACGATACTCTCTAAGTGACACGTGACGATACTCTCTAAGAGACACGTGACGATACTCTAAGTGACACGTGACGATACTCTCTAAGTGACGATACTCTCTAAGTGGACACGTGACGATACTCTCTAAGTGACGATACTCTCTAAGTGACACGTGACGATACTCTAAGAGACACGTGACGATACTCTCTAAGTGACACGTGACGATACTCTCTAAGTGACACGTGACGATACTCTCTAAGTGACGATACTCTCTAAGTGACACGTGACGATACTCTCTAAGTGACACGTGACGATACTCTCTAAGTGACGATACTCTCTAAGTGACACGTGACGATACTCTCTAAGCGACACGTGACGATACTCCCTAAGTGACACGTGACGATACTCTCTAAGTGACACGTGCGATACTCTCTAAGTGACACGTGACGATACTCTCTAAGAAATACTCTCTACAGTGACGATACTCTCTAAGTGACGACACTCTCTAAGCAACACGTGACGATACTCTCTAAGTGACACGTGACGATACTCTCTAAGCAACACGTGACGATTACTAAGTGACACGTGACAATACTCTCTAAGGACACGTGACGATACTCTCTAAGTGACACGTGACGATACTCTCTAAGTGACACGTGACGATACTCTCTAAGTGACACGTGACGATACTCTCTAAGTGACACGTGACGATACTCTCTAAGCGACACGTGACGATACTCTCTAAGTGACACGTGACGATACTCTCTTAAGTTGACGATCTCTCTAAGTGACACGTGACGATACTCTCTAAGTGACGATACTCTCTAAGCGACACGTGACGATACTCTCTAAGTGACACGTGACGATACTCCCTAAGAGACACGTGACGATACTCTCTAAGTGACGATTCTCTCTAAGCGACACGTGACGATACTCTCTAAGTGACACGTGACGATACTCTCTAAGAGACACGTGACGATACTCTCTAAGTGACACGTGACGATACTCTCTAAGTGACACGTGACGATACTCTCTAAGTGACGATACTCTCTAAGTGAACGTGACGATACTATCTAAGTGACACGATGACGTATACTCTCTAAGAGACACGTGACGATACTCTCTAAGTGACGATACTCTCTAAGAGACACGTGACGATACTCTCTAAGTGACACGTGACGATACTCTCTAAGTGACGATACTCTCTAAGCGACACGTGACGATACTCTCTAAGTGACACGTGACGACACTCTCTAAGCGACACGTGACGATACTCCTCTAAGTGACGTGTGATGATACTCTCTAAGTGACACGTGACGATACTCTCTAAGTGACGATACTCTCTAAGTGACACGTGACTCTCTAAGTGACGATACTCTCTAAGTAACACGTGACGATACTCTCTAAGTGACACGTGACGATACTCTCTAAGAGACACGTGACGATACTCTCTAAGTGACACGTGACGATACTCTCTAAGAGACACGTGACGATACTCTCTAAGTGACACGTGACGACACTCTCTAAGCAACACGTGACGATACTCTCTAAGTGACGTGTGATGATACTCTCTAAGTGACACGTGACGATACTCTCTAAGTGACACGTGACGATACTCTCTAAGTGACGATACTCTCTAAGTGACACGTGACGATACTCTCTAAGAGACACGTGACGATACTCTCTAAGTGACACGTGACGATACTCTCTAAGAGACACGTGACGATACTCTCTAAGTGACACGTGACGATACTCTCTAAGTGACACGTGACGATACTCTCTAAGAGACACGTGACGATACTCTCTAAGTGACACGTGACGATACTCTCTAAGTGACGTGTGACGATACTCTCTAAGTGACACGTGACGATACTCTCTAAGAGACACGTGACGATACTCTCTAAGTGACACGTGACGATACTCTCTAAGTGACGATACTCTCTAAGTGACACGTGACGATACTCTCTAAGTGACGATACTCTCTAAGTGACAAGTGACGATACTCTCTAAGTGACACGTGACGATACTCTCTAAGTGACGATACTCTCTAAGTGACACGTGACGATACTCCTCTAAGTGACGTGTGACGATACTCTCTAAGTGACACGTGACGATACTCTCTAAGTGACGTGTGACGATACTCTCTAAGTGACGATACTCTCTAAGTGACGATACTCTCTAAGCGACACGTGACGATACTCTCTAAGTGACGATACTCTCTAAGTGACGATACTCTAAGTGACACGTGACGATACTCTCTAAGTGACGATACTCTCTAAGTGACGATACTCTAAGTGACACGTGACGATACTCTCTAAGTGACGATACTCTCTAAGTGACACGTGACTCTCTAAGAGACACGTGACGATACTCTCTAAGCGACACGTGATGGGAAACCCGCAGGAGCCGGAGAGAAATCCACGCGACCACGGGGAGTGACAGAGAGAGACAAAGACGGAGAGACCCAGGGCTTGAGGGTGGCGAGTTCGACCTCCCGACCACCGCCGCCGCCGAGTTGACCTCCCGACCACCGCCGCCGCTCACCACGATGGTGTCGCTGGCGCCCGGTGCTCAGGAAGACATCGTTGGTGGTCGCACGCGATCCCTCCGTCACGCCGCTCGATGAAGCGCGCCACGTCCTGACGCAGACACTCGATGCCCTGGCTAGCGCTGTACGCACCTGCACACGGGGCGTGGGTGGGGGGTGGGTGGGGGGTGGGTGGGGGGTGAGTGGGGGGGGTGAGTGGGGGGGTGAGTGTGTGATGAGTGGTGAGTGTGTGGTGAGTTGGAGGTGAGTGCGGGGTGAGTGGGGGGCGAAGTAGGGGGTGAGTGTGTGATGAGTGGGGGGAGTGTGGTGAGTGTGTGGTGAGTGGGGGGTGAGTGGGGGGCGAGTAGGGGGTGAGTGTGTGATGAGTGGGGGGTGTGTGGTGAGTGTGTGGTGAGTGGGGGGTGAGTGTGTGGTGAGTGCGGGGTGAGTGTGTGGTGGGTGTGTGGTGAGTGTGTGGTGAGTGGGGGGTGAGTGGGGGGCGAGTAGGGGGTGAGTGTGTGATGAGTGGGGGGTGTGTGGTGAGTGTGTGGTGAGTGGGGGTGAGTGGGGGGCGAGTAGGGGGTGAGTGTGTGGTGAGTGTGTGGTGAGTGTGTGGTGAGTGGGGGGTGAGTGGGGGGCGAGTAGGGGGTGAGTGTGTGATGAGTGGGGGGTGTGTGGTGAGTGTGTGGTGAGTGGGGGGTGAGTGGGGGGCGAGTAGAGGGTGAGTGTGTGGTGAGTGTGTGGTGAGTGTGTGGTGAGTGTGTGGTGAGTGTGTGGTGAGTGGGGGGTGAGTGGGGGGGTGAGTGATGAGTGCGGGGTGAGTGTGTGGTGAGTGTGTGGTGAGTGGGGGGTGAGTGCGGGGGTGAGTGTGTGGTGAGTGTGTGGTGAGTGGTGGGTGTGGGGTGAGAGCGCTGATGACGTCACTGATGATGCCCGTGATGATGATGATGACGGTGATGATGATGACAGGGATGATGATGATGCCCGTGATGATGATGATGACAGGGTTGATGATGATGACGCTGATGATGACGTCACTGATGACGTCACTGATGATGTCGATGGTGGCGCTCACCGATGCTCCTCCCTCCGCACCCGTCAAGAACCCGCCGTGCGCGCTGCTTCGCATCCTCCGGTAGTGCCGAGTCCTCAAACAACGCCGGGTACAGACACAGCGCCAGCACCTGGGGGGGTCACGTGGGGGTCTCTGTGTGAGTCTATGGGTCTCTGTGTGAGTCTATGGGTCTCTGTGTGAGTGAGTCTATGGGTCTCTGTGTGAGTCTATGGGTCTCTGTGTGATGAGTCTATGGGTCTCTGTGTGAGTCTATGGGTCTCTGTGTGAGTGAGTCTATGGGTCTCTGTGTGAGTGAGTCTATGGGTCTCTGTGTGAGTGAGTCTATGGGTCTCTGTGTGAGTCTATGGGTCTCTGTGTGAGTGAGTCTATGGGTCTCTGTGTGAGTCTATGGGTCTCTGTGTGAGTGAGTCTATGGGTCTCTGTGTGAGTCTATGGGTCTCTGTGTGAGTGAGTCTATGGGTCTCTGTGTGATGAGTCTATGGCTCTCTGTGTGAGTCTATGGGTCTCTGTGTGAGTCTATGGGTCTCTGTTTGAGTGAGTCTATGGGTCTCTGTGTGAGTGAGTCTATGGGTCTCTGTGTGAGTGAGTCTATGGGTCTCTGTTTGAGTGAGTCTATGGGTCTCTGTGTGAGTGAGTCTATGGGTCTCTGTGTGAGTGCGTCTATGGGTCTCTGTGTGAGTCTATGGGTCTCTGTGTGAGTGAGTCTATGGGTCTCTGTGTGAGTCTATGGGTCTCTGTGTGAGTGAGTCTATGGATCTCTGTGTGGTGAGTCTATGGGTCTCTGTGTGAGTGAGTCTATGGGTCTCTGTGTGAGTGAGTCTATGGGTCTCTGTGTGAGTCTATGGGTCTCTGTGTGAGTCTATGGGTCTCTGTGTGAGTCTATGGGTCTCTGTGTGAGTGAGTCTATGGGTCTCTGTGTGAGTGAGTCTATGGGTCTCTGTGTGGTGAGTCTATGGGTCTCTGTGTGAGTGAGTCTATGGGTCTCTGTGTGAGTCTATGGGTCTCTGTGTGAGTGAGTCTATGGGTCTCTGTGTGAGTCTATAGGTCTCTGTGTGAGTCTATGGGTCTCTGTGTGAGTGAGTCTATGGGCCTCTGTGTGAGTGAGTCTATGGGTCTCTGTGTGAGTCTATGGGTCTCTGTGTGAGTCTATGGGTCTCTGTGTGAGTGAGTCTATGGGTCTCTGTGTGAGTGAGTCTATGGGTCTCTGTGTGAGTCTATAGGTCTCTGTGTGAGTCTATGGGTCTCTGTGTGAGTGAGTCTATGGGCCTCTGTGTGAGTCTATGGGTCTCTGTGTGAGTGAGTCTATGGGTCTCTGTGTGAGTGAGTCTATGGGTCTCTGTGTGAGTGAGTCTATGGGTCTCTTTGTGAGTGAGTCTATGGGTCTCTGTGTGATGAGTCTATGGCTCTCTGTGTGAGTCTATGGGTCTCTGTGTGAGTCTATGGGTCTGTGTTTGAGTGAGTCTATGGGTCTCTGTGTGAGTGAGTCTATGGGTCTCTGTGTGAGTGAGTCTATGGGTCTCTGTTTGAGTGAGTCTATGGGTCTCTGTGTGAGTGAGTCTATGGGTCTCTGTGTGAGTGCGTCTATGGGTCTCTGTGTGAGTCTATGGGTCTCTGTGTGAGTGAGTCTATGGGTCTCTGTGTGAGTCTATGGGTCTCTGTGTGAGTGAGTCTATGGATCTCTGTGTGGTGAGTCTATGGGTCTCTGTGTGAGTGAGTCTATGGGTCTCTGTGTGAGTGAGTCTATGGGTCTCTGTGTGAGTCTATGGGTCTCTGTGTGAGTCTATGGGTCTCTGTGTGAGTCTATGGGTCTCTGTGTGAGTGAGTCTATGGGTCTCTGTGTGAGTGAGTCTATGGGTCTCTGTGTGGTGAGTCTATGGGTCTCTGTGTGAGTGAGTCTATGGGTCTCTGTGTGAGTCTATGGGTCTCTGTGTGAGTGAGTCTATGGGTCTCTGTGTGAGTCTATAGGTCTCTGTGTGAGTCTATGGGTCTCTGTGTGAGTGAGTCTATGGGCCTCTGTGTGAGTGAGTCTATGGGTCTCTGTGTGAGTCTATAGGTCTCTGTGTGAGTCTATGGGTCTCTGTGTGAGTGAGTCTATGGGTCTCTGTGTGAGTGAGTCTATGGGTCTCTGTGTGAGTCTATAGGTCTCTGTGTGAGTCTATGGGTCTCTGTGTGAGTGAGTCTATGGGTCTCTGTGTGAGTCTATGGGTCTCTGTGTGAGTGAGTCTATGGGTCTCTGTGTGAGTGAGTCTATGGGTCTCTGTGTGAGTGAGTCTATGGGTCTCTTTGTGAGTGAGTCTATGGGTCTCTGTGTGATGAGTCTATGGCTCTCTGTGTGAGTCTATGGGTCTCTGTGTGAGTCTATGGGTCTCTGTTTGAGTGAATCTATGGGTCTCTGTGTGAGTGAGTCTATGGGTCTCTGTGTGAGTGAGTCTATGGGTCTCTGTTTGAGTGAGTCTATGGGTCTCTGTGTGAGTGAGTCTATGGGTCTCTGTGTGAGTGAGTCTATGGGTTCTCTGTGTGAGTCTATGGGTCTCTGTGTGAGTGAGTCTATGGGTCTGTGTGTGAGTCTATGGGTCTCTGTGTGAGTGAGTCTATGGATCTCTGTGTGGTGAGTCTATGGGTCTCTGTGTGAGTGAGTCTATGGGTCTCTGTGTGAGTGAGTCTATGGGTCTCTGTGTGAGTCTATGGGTCTCTGTGTGAGTCTATGGGTCTCTGTGTGAGTCTATGGGTCTCTGTGTGAGTGAGTCTATGGGTCTCTGTGTGAGTGAGTCTATGGGTCTCTGTGTGGTGAGTCTATGGGTCTCTGTGTGAGTGAGTCTATGGGTCTCTGTGTGAGTCTATGGGTCTCTGTGTGAGTGAGTCTATGGGTCTCTGTGTGAGTCTATAGGTCTCTGTGTGAGTCTATGGGTCTCTGTGTGAGTGAGTCTATGGGCCTCTGTGTGAGTGAGTCTATGGGTCTCTGTGTGAGTCTATAGGTCTCTGTGTGAGTCTATGGGTCTCTGTGTGAGTGAGTCTATGGTTCTCTGTGTGAGTGAGTCTATGGGTCTCTGTGTGAGTCTATGGGTCTCTGTGTGAGTCTATGGGTCTCTGTGTGAGTGAGTCTATGGGCCTCTGTGTGAGTCTATGGGTCTCTGTGTGAGTGAGTCTATGGGTCTCTGTGTGAGTGAGTCTATGGGTCTCTGTGTGAGTGAGTCTATGGGTCTCTTTGTGAGTGAGTCTATGGGTCTCTGTGTGATGAGTCTATGGCTCTCTGTGTGAGTCTATGGGTCTCTGTGTGAGTCTATGGGTCTCTGTTTGAGTGAGTCTATGGGTCTCTGTGTGAGTGAGTCTATGGGTCTCTGTGTGAGTGAGTCTATGGGTCTCTGTTTGAGTGAGTCTATGGGTCTCTGTGTGAGTGAGTCTATGGGTCTCTGTGTGAGTGCGTCTATGGGTCTCTGTGTGAGTCTATGGGTCTCTGTGTGAGTGAGTCTATGGGTCTCTGTGTGAGTCTATGGGTCTCTGTGTGAGTGAGTCTATGGATCTCTGTGTGGTGAGTCTATGGGTCTCTGTGTGAGTGAGTCTATGGGTCTCTGTGTGAGTGAGTCTATGGGTCTCTGTGTGAGTCTATGGGTCTCTGTGTGAGTCTATGGGTCTCTGTGTGAGTGAGTCTATGGGTCTCTGTGTGAGTGAGTCTATGGGTCTCTGTGTGAGTGAGTCTATGGGTCTCTGTGTGAGTGAGTCTATGGGTCTCTGTGTGAGTGAGTCTATGGGTCTCTGTGTGAGTGAGTCTATGGGTCTCTGTGTGAGTGAGTCTATGGGTCTCTGTGTGAGTGAGTCTATGGGTCTCTGTGTGAGTGAGTCTATGGGTCTCTGTGTGAGTGAGTGTATAGGTCTCTGCGTGAGTGAGTCTATGGGTCTCTGTGTGAGTGAGTCTATGGGTCTCTGTGTGAGTGAGTCTATGGGTCTCTGTGTGAGTGAGTGTATAGGTCTCTGCGTGAGTGAGTCTATGGGTCTCTGTGTGAGTGAGTCTATGGGTCTCTGTGTGAGTGAGTCTATGGGTCTCTGTGTGAGTGAGTCTATGGGTCTCTGTGTGAGTGAGTCTATGGGTCTCTGTGTGAGTGAGTCTATGGGTCTCTGTGTGAGTGAGTGTATAGGTCTCTGTGTGATGAGTCTATGAGTCTCTGTGTGAGTGAGTCTATGGGTGTCTTTATGATGAGTCTATGGGTGTCTGTATGATGAGTATATGGGTCTCTGTGTAAATTAGTCTATGGGTCTCTGTGTGAGTGAGTCTATGGGTGTCTTTGTGAGTGAGTATATGGGTCTCTGTGTGATGAGTCTATGAGTCTCTGTGTGAGTGAGTCTATGGGTCTCTGTGTGATGAGTCTATGGGTCTCTGTGGGAGTGAGTCTATGGGTCTCTGTGTGAGTGAGTCTATGGGTCTCTGTGTGAGTGAGTCTATGGGTCTCTGTGTGAGTGAGTTTATGGGTCTCTGTGTGAGTGAGTCTATGGGTCTCTGTGTGCGTGAGTCTTTGGGTCTCTGTGTGAGTGAGTGTATAGGTCTCTGTGTGATGAGCCTATGAGTCTCTGTGTGAGTGAGTCTATGGGTCTCTGTGTGAGTGAGTCTATGGGTGTCTTTATGATGAGTCTATGGGTGTCTGTATGATGAGTATATGGGTCTCTGTGTAAATTAGTCTATGGGTCTCTGTGTGAGTGAGTCTATGGGTGTCTTTGTGAGTGAGTATATGGGTCTCTGTGTGATGAGTCTATGAGTCTCTGTGTGAGTGAGTCTATGGGTCTCTGTGTGAGTGAGTCTATGGGTCTCTGTGTGAGTGAGTCTATGGGTCTCTGTGTGAGTGAGTCTATGGGTCTCTGTGTGAGTGAGTGTATAGGTCTCTGCGTGAGTGAGTCTATGGGTCTCTGTGTGAGTGAGTCTATGGGTCTCTGTGTGAGTGAGTCTATGGGTCTCTGTGTGAGTGAGTGTATAGGTCTCTGCGTGAGTGAGTCTATGGGTCTCTGTGTGAGTGAGTCTATGGGTCTCTGTGTGAGTGAGTCTATGGGTCTCTGTGTGAGTGAGTCTATGGGTCTCTGTGTGAGTGAGTCTATGGGTCTCTGTGTGAGTGAGTCTATGGG